TTGGTCAGGAGGCGTTCCCGCAAAGCGAAAGGTCACCATTTCGATTCCTGGTCAGGCACAGGCCCGGGTTGTGGGTCTGGTCCCCAGTCGGGGCATGTACAAGAGCCAACCAGTTGATGTTTCTAGCCCTCCCTTTCTCCCTCTCATCCCCTCTCTCTAAAAATGAATAAATAAATGTATTTTTAAAGTGGTCTGCAATCTTAAATGTCAAGGTCTCGAAAGTCAAGGGGAGCCCGAGGAGCTGTTCCAGACTGGGGCGGCTGGCGGAACTGGAAAGGGTCTGAGGGTTGGTGGGCAGCGGTGCCTCGCCATGCCGTCCCCGTGTGGATGGCAGCTCCGTGGACGAGAGGGAGGGTCCCTGCCTGCAGGAAAGACTAAAGTTCCCAGGAGCCTGGGCTTCCGGTCAGCAGCTTCCTCTCAAATGGTTCTCTTTTTTTTTTAATTTTTAAAAAGATTCTTAATTTATTCATTTTTAGAGAGGGAAGGGAGGGAGATAGAGAGAGAGAGAGAAACATCAATGTGCGGTTGCTGGAGGTCATGGCCTGCAACCCAGGCATGTGCCCTGACTGGGAATCGAACCTGCGATGCTTTGGTTCGCAGCCCACGCTCAATCCACTGAGCTCCACCGGCCAGGGCTTCAAATGGTTCTCAAAAAAGGGGCTTCGTCTAGTCTTACAGAATTTTTCTGGAACGTGTTTTGTTATTAAAAACTGGGAGCCCATAGGAATTAGCTCACGGTATCCTCACAGCAACAGGCAAGGGACAGTCACCCCCACCTGACGGGCGAGGGAGATGCGGCCCCCGGGTCACATCGGGCCGAGGGGGCAGGTCGGGCCCAGGGGGACTCAGCCAGGCCTGCGCTGTCTGCTGTCACTCAGTGGGTGTGTGGTCCAGTGCGGCTGGTGGGTCAAGAGCAGGGCGTGGCAGGGGGAGTAGGTGTGACATGCGCTCCCTTCTCTGAGAAATGGGAGGACAGTGACCTCCTGGGCACGGGGGTGGTGGACTGAAACAGTCCTGAGGTCTGGTGAGTGCCCACACGCCCACTCCGTTGGGGGTGGGGTACTGCCCCCACATAGGGGCCACGCAGGGAACACGGTCAGGGCCCAGGCTCCCGGCCCGAGGTCTCAGCCAAGGGCACCTGTGCTCAGCCTGGGCCAGGTGTGGGGACCGTGGGGTAGAAGGCCGGGTGCCTGGTGGCCAAGATCGGGGACACAAGTGAGCTGCGTGCAGCCCCTCCCTCCTCTCACTGGGCCTGGGGGTCCCAGGTGCATGGTAGGGGTGATGCAGTGGAGAGTGTGACAATCGGGATGACAAAATGGCAGCCAAATGGACGGGGCCTTGGGTGTACAGGGTGGGTGACCGGCTGGAGGTGACAGGGACAACCTCTGTGTCCAAGTTTTTCGAGCCATCCTTGTAAGGCTGCCGGCCCTACCGATGATCTGAAAAAGGGCTTGACTGGAGAGAGGTTGCCAGAATGAAACAAGGAACTGCCTTTTCAAACGAAGAAAATATGCACCCACACACACACATTATAGAAGGAACAACTGTTGACGGTTGAAAACAATGGTTTTAGCTGAAAACAAAAAGAATATGCCTCCCCTCTTCCCACCCTACTCCGCCCTGGGAGATAACCCGGTGTCAGCTTCGGAATCCGTCGCCCCAAGAAGAGATGCCACCGCCCCTGGGCGGGGCCTCGGCCTGGGCGGGGCCTGGGCGTGCGCAGGGACCCTGGGGCTGGCGGCTGCACCAGCCCCCGCTGGCTCCGCTCTCACCAACGCCGTGAGGAAGTTACACGTCCCCATTCTGCAGACGAGGAAGCTGAGGCTGGCGAAAGGAAGGGGCTTGCTCGGGTCACACTGCCTGTCCTCGCCAACTTCTAGCTCTTGCTGGGGCTGCTGTCCGTCAGCGTCAGCGCAGAGGAGGCCTTTGCCCCATTCCTGCTCAGAAGGGGCTCTGCTCAGGGAAAGAGCTGGCCTTTAGCAGGGTGGGGGCTGGGGTCCTCCTGGGAGCTTCCGGGCCCTGCGAGGTTGGGGTCAGCCTGACAGTGGGGTCCTGCCCTAGTGAAAGTTCCACCCACTCATCCCAACCTTGTTTATAGGGCCTCCACCCAGACAGACTGGAGAGCTTTCTAGGGACCTGAGTGGCCAGAAGGCGCGACCCCAGGGAGAGACCACCCAGGGCGGGGGACCAGGACTGCCGGCATCTATGTACAGACAGGCCTGGCCACCCGGCCTCTTCGTCCTCTCTCGGTCTCTCGCTCTGCACCTCCCGCTTCCCAGGGGAAAGAGGGAAACCTCTGGGTTATTTTCTCATTGCCCTGAGGAAAAATATTAACAATCCCTTCCTGTTGTTCGGAAATTACCAAGTTTCTCAGACGTGCACCACTTCTTGTTTATTTGAAAACTAGTCATCAAGTGCTGGCCAAGTGCATTCTGGGCAGTCCATCCCTGAGTTCATTCCATCCTTAGAATGAAGGTCAGGAAGCAGGTTTGTTGTCATCACCATTCCACGGAGGAGGAAACTGAGGCACAGAACATCTGAGCAGTGTGTCTCCCAAGAACAAAAAGAACAAAACTTCTGTCTCTGCAAGGTCATCTCCGCTGCAGCCACCCGCTGTGGTCCCTTGGAGGGCACTGAACTCCAACTAGGGAGCTCTTGAATTTTTACCACAAGTTCCTGAGCCAACTGGGTACCAAACCGCTCCCTGGGGAAAAGCTCAGGAGTCAGCAGGGTGAGGAGGGGCTGTGGGGCTAGTCCAGAATGCTCTAGGGCCTGCGGGGCACCCCACCCAGCTCCTGGGGGTCCCAGTGGCCCCAGTGGCCCTCCGTGGGCAGGTCGTGTGGAGTTGGCCCTTAGTTGGGTCGATGCCCAGCGGCCAAGCTCAGGAGACTGAGGTATACTCCCTGAAAACCTGAGATGCATTCACGCCAGGCCTCAGCGCTGGGAGTGCCCCCCCATGGGCATGGCCCTGGGGAGGCCACCTCGGGGCAGAGCAGGGAGGCAGCAGGGTGTCATTGGCACCTCCCGTGCTGCCGCGGTGATCTTGGGCTCAGGCTCAGAGGCCAGGGCACCCAGGGGCCTCTGGACAGTGCTGCAGCCGTGCGTGGCCACTGGGCCTCTCCTTTTGGGGGCTGCCCTTTAGTTGGACATGGTCTTTGGTGGCTGCTAATGCCCTGAGTGATGCAGCCAGCCGTGGGAATTCCTGACCAGTGGCTCCTGACCAGTGGGAGCCACTCTGCCTCTGGGAGGCAGCAAAGGGAGCCTTCTCCATTATTTCCCCAGCTCTGAGCACCTCCAAAGGGGCCACAGTGGGCTTCAGGCCGCTCAGGGTCTGTGCAGAGTCGAGTGTGTGAGTGCGTGAGTGTGTGTGTCCCAGTGATGGAAGCAGGGGTCCAAAACGCTAGTCGCGTGCTAAGTGTTGTCTGCCGTCGGTGACCACATGTGTCCCAGCGATGCGTCTGCTTGTCATTGCTCTTCTGATGTGATAGGAGCCGTGATCTCGGAGGGTCCGCTGGGTTCCCTCGTCTGGGGCTCAGGAGTTAACTCTCTGGGAAAGTTCAGAGTCCTTTCACCCAAGGACTTGGAGACCATCTGCCCCTGAACTGCCTTCAACCTCCCTGTGCCTCGAGCTGTGTTTATATGTGGAGTTCCTGGGAAGGCGGGCCGGACGAGGCTTTGAGAGGGTCTAATTCCCAGTTCCCAGGGCCAGACCCGTGGGGAGCAGGGAGGGGCATGCAAAGTCTGGGGGAAGAAGGTCTTGCTTCCAGTTGTCACTAAACGGAGATAATCCCACCCAGCTTTGTTGAGTGGGGACCCTGTTCCAGCCCTGTGCCCAATCCTCGCTCACTGCACGCCTACAGCGGTGGTAACAGTGGCCAGTGGGCACCTCCTACGGGAAGGGGAACTGAGGCACGGAGGGGGTGAGTCTCCTCCCGTGCACACAGCTCACCAGCAGCTTTTCTCGGTCCTGCACTTCATACTGGGCCCCTCTCAGGGCTTCTCAAAGTGCGATTCTGGGGCCTGGGGCTCTCGGGCAAGTGTTTGTCCGGACGGAGGACTTCTGGACCACACAGAGGGACTAAGCGAATCAGACTCAAGAGCCAGCATTTTTGTTGAGGCGCTCCACGTTTCTAGGCCCCCTTGCAAGTTCCTGATGAAGTAACTTCCAGCTAAGGAGCTGGAAGGAGGACCGGGCAGAGCAGGGAAGGTGCTCTCTGCTGTGTTTACAGTGTACAGCTGCGGGGAGCAGGAGGCGGGGGTCCCCAGCACCTGTGGCTCTTCCCTGCCACCACCCCACCGCCACACTGCCGCCAAACTCCCTCCTTGTGGACATCCTATGATCAGGTGACGGGCAGGGGGAATCTGAGTGGAAAAGAGAGAGGGAGGGTGTTGGGGGTGAGAGGTTTAGTAAGGGGGACCAGGAAGGCACGTGGGGCCAGGAGGTCCAACATGGGGTTAGACCTGTGTTCTTTTCCGGAAGGAAAGCCCTGCAGAAGGTTCCAGCAGAGGAGGCGCATGTCGAAGGGCTGCGGGGAGAAGGCGGCTCCTGGCAGGGCTGAGGGCCCGGACTCAGGGGCTGGAGGACCCCGAGGGAGGGGGAAGAGGGAGGATGAGACCCTTGGGGGCTCATGAACGTGGAGGGGCTGGCGGGATGTGCTGGGAGGTGCGTCTGAAACGTGGGGCAGGGGGAGGTGGGCCGGAGGGGCGCCATAACACGGGTTTTTGGTAAAAGGAAGCACGCTGCAGGGCGGGCACAGCGCCTGAGACCCAGCTCCCTCGGACTCCTCCCTGGGGCCGGTCTCTCATCTGTGAAATGGGCTGTCGTGAGGGTTCCGGGAGAGGAAGGTGCTCCTGGGGACCCACCCGCTGGCTGCGGTTCGGGTGGGCGCGGGGATCGCCCCACCCGAGCGTGTGGGTTCAGCGACGGGGCAGGCGGGCGGCGGGGGCGGCCCTGCCCCCTGGCGGCGGTCCCAGTTGGGGCGCCCGGGCCACCGACGGGCGGGGCGACCCGGCGGGCTGCGGGCGCACCAGACGCCGGCAGTGGGCCAGTCCAGTCTGACCGCTCCTGGCGCTGCCTCTGTCCGTCGGGGCTGCTCCCGGACCCTGGATCTCGCGGGCCGCAGACGGCACGGTAGGTGAGCGGGACGCGGGCGTGGGCAAGGGCGCGCCGCGGGCGGGGTCTTGGGCGAGACGAGGCGGGAGGAGCAGCGCGCGGGCTGCATCTTCCCAGGGCGGTAGAGGTCGGAGGCTCCTGTTGGGGCGCCCCCACCTCCGGAGACTCCCAGCCTCCCAGGTTATCCGTCTTACTGCAGGCCGCCAGGCCCTTCCCCGTGGTGTAGGGAGTTTCTCTTGACCCTTGGTCTGCGCTGCACCGTCCCAGCTCATCCCCGATGCTGCTGCCGCCTTCGGCTCCCGCACCAGCAGGGTAGGGGGAGCAGATGGGGTGCGGCCAGACGCAAGGTTTGAGTGAATGAAAATGCAGCTTGATCCCATCATGGGGGATTAGGTGTGGGAGGGGCCGGGAGGCTGAGGTAGGGGGCGCTTCTGGGTGGAGGCTTTGGAGAGGAAGATACTCAGCATCAAGAATGCTGGGGGTGGGGGTAGGGGTGGGGGTGGAGGGGGGGACCCTGTGACCCAGTTCACTATATCGCTGTAATAAAAAAGGAGAAGCAGGATGCTTGGGTCTGGGAGAGCAAAGGACCTAGGAAAGAAGGCTGAAAGGTGGGTGCATGGGTATGTGGGCAACCAGAGGCCCCAAGCCCCCAACGGAGGAGAGGAAATAGGGCTGAAGGAACAGGGGGAAGATCCGGGAAGGGAGCCTGAAAATCTGGCTGCTGGAGGAGGGGTTGATGGGGTGGCGGTGGGCTTGGGGAACAGGCTCAGGAGTACAGTCTGGGCCACCACCCGCTCTCCCCCCGGGCTGCCCTCCCCCCCCCACGTGGGGAGTGAGGGTCAGGTAACTCTCTGCACCCGAACTGGGCACCCAAAACACACCCACGAGTTCCTGAGAACTTTATGTGAAGTCTCTCATTTAACCTTCCCAGAAACTCTAAGGTAGGCTCTGTTTGACACCCCCATTTCACAGACGAGGAAACTGAGGCACAGGAAGGGGTGGGGGGCACAGCTAGAGCTGGCAGAGCTGGCATTTGATCCCAGGCTAGGCTGTGTAGCACACGGCCGGCCTCGGTTCTTAATCCCGGCATCCGGTGGGCATCCAGTGGGCTGGCAGAGATGGGCAGCCCCGGACAGGGAGGGAGAGGGGAAAGGAAACCCAGCACTGGCAGCGTTGAAGACATCAGGTGTTTCCACCTCTAACGAACAGTTCAGGTGATGGGAAACAGAAACCGGAGCCAACTTTTGGGTCAGTGTGACAGGATTTAGCCCTTGATCCCCTCAGGGACTCAGACGTGCTGATAACCTGGCCCTTCTGTGTGTCCGGCAGGCCCCGTGTTAACATTTTTCATGGGTTAAGTGCTTTCGGTCCTTGTAATAAGGAGACAGCTGCAGAGAGGTTACCAGGCAAATGGTCTCACCCAGCCTGGGAGTGGGGAGGCTGGATTTGAACCCAGGCAGTTGCTTCCAGAGTCCTTGTCCTTAAAGACGACACGATACTGCACACTGTGTCCATTTTCCTGATGCCCAAACGGAGCCCCTGTCCCAGCGCCTGTGGCTTGAAAAGGCAGAGCTCCAGGGGGCTCCTGAGGGCAGAGCCCGTGCCCCAGAGGGGTCATCATTTAGTCAAGGGGTCTCATAGCTCGTGAAGTTTAAATGTGAAGTCCCCTTCTTATCATTAAATTTTTTTTAATGAAGAACAGATTTTTTTAAAATTTTTTTTAAAGATTTTATTTATTTATTTTTAGAGAGGGAAGGGAGGGAGAAAAAGAGAGAGAGAGAAACATCAATGTGCGGTTGCTGGGGGCTGTGGCCTGCAACCCAGGCATATGCCCTGGCTGGGAATCGAACCTGTGATGCTTTGGTTCACAGCCCGTGCTCAACCCACTGAGCTACGCCAGCCAGGGCTAAATTTTTTTGTATCTATTGACTTTTTTAGAGAGAAAGGGGGAGAGAGTGAGAGAGAAACGTGGATTTGTCGTCCCACCCATTCTCACACTCACTGACTCTTGTGTGTGCCCTGACCTGGGCGCTGAAGCGGCCACCTTGGTGCATCGGGAAGGCACTCCCACCAACTGACCTACCCGGCCAGGGCCACATGTTATCATTTTTAAGATGTACACTTTTACATCTCTGAAGTTGTAATGCATCTTACAATGGATGGCAGCGTTTCTTTCCCAGTAGTACATAAAAGTAATGGCGCCTTTGGTATGATTTGGTGAATGATGACAGAGCCAGGGTTCTCTGCATGACTTTTTCGGGTGTCTCTGTCTTCTGTTCCCCAGGTTTCTTTCTGCCCCAATTGTTCCATCTTCCCTGGAGACATGTCCCCCGGGAATATAAGCAGCCCAGTGTCCTGCAACGACAGTAGGGCCTGGGAGTTCTTTGACCCCAAGGACTTGAACTTGACTGACAAGGAGCTGAGACTCAAGTACCTGGGACCCCAGCAGACGGAGCTGTTCGTGCCCATCTGTGTCACATACCTGGTGATTTTCGTGGTGGGCATCCTGGGCAACGGGCTGACCTGCACGGTCATTCTGCGCCACAAGACCATGCGCACGGCCACCAACTACTACCTCTTCAGCCTCGCCGTGTCGGACCTGCTGGTGCTGCTGGTGGGCCTGCCCCTGGAGCTCTACGAGATGTGGCGTAACTACCCCTTCCTGCTGGGTGCTGGTGGCTGCTACTTCCGCACGCTGCTCTTCGAGACCGTCTGCCTGGCCTCCGTGCTCAATGTCACCGCCCTGAGCGTGGAGCGCTACGTGGCCGTGGTGCACCCGCTGCAGGTCCGGTCCACGATGACTCGGACCCATGTGCGCCGCGTGCTCGGGGCCATCTGGGGCCTTGCTGTGCTCTGCTCTCTGCCCAACACCAGCCTGCACGGCATCCAGCAGCTGGTCGTGCCCTGCCGGGGCACGGTGCCCGGCTCGGCTATGTGCATGCTGGTCCGCCCAAAGACCCTCTACAACCTGGTCATCCAGATCACCACTCTGTTCTTCTTCTGCCTGCCCATGGCCATCATCAGCGTGCTCTACCTGCTCATCGGGCTGCGGCTGCGGCGTGAGAAGCTGCTGCTGCTCAGGCAGACGGCCCAGGGCAAGGCCAGGGCCAGGGACAGCCGCAAGCTCCAGTCACCACAGGACAGGAGTCGGACACAGGTGACCAAGATGCTGTGTAAGTGTTGCTGCTGGGAAGAGGGGCTGAGCCAGGCACAGGGCATGAAGGCGGGGCTTCCGGGGCCCAGGGGCAGGGGCTGTGTCTGGGTTTATGAGTGTGAGGCTTAGAATCACACGCCCCACTGTGGCGCGTGCGTGCATGTGTGTACGTGTACAGGCGTGCGTGGATACTCTTTTGGATTACCATTCTAGAAACTCGCACCAAAGGTAGTCATGGCTCACGGAAGGATGGGCCGCATGATTTGCGGGGTAGAGTGCAGAATGGAAACTCAGATTCCCAGTTCAAAAATTATTAAGAATGTCAAGTGAGCAAGCTCGGGGCCCTGTGCTCGTGCGTGGGGGCGCACCCGTAACACCAGCCCTGGTCATGGGACCAGAGCACAGACGGGGCAGGGGATACCTCACTGGGCTCCGGGACGGTGGAGCTGTCCATGGCATCTACACCCCCCAGAGCTCTCATCTTGGCTCCCACAGATGTCTTGGCTCTGTCCTCCTCTCCATCAGCCTGGGAGGCAAGGTCACAGGCACAGAGAGGAAAGGATTCTCAGGGGCGGGGATAGGTCCTGGCCCACCCCCAGGCCAGAGTGACGGGATGCTGAGGTGACTAGACCCGCAGAGCCACACAGTGGGACATGGGGGCAGCTGGAGAGACAAGACGACGAATTCCTTCCCTCTATGTCTGCAGTCCCCTGGGGACCACAGGAGTGACGGTGGTCTAAAAGAGAATTGTCACGAGGTGTGTCTGTGACAGTTGGTGTGCAGAGGTTGGGGGAATCAGGGCGGGAGTGTGGGTTGGGGTCGGCCAGGGCCTGGCCTGCTGGGGTGAGGCTCTGGGTCTCACTGTGGCCTAGACCTGGCTCTTTGTCAGAAACAGTGGCCCTGGGGAAGCCAGACAAACAGATACCAAGCCAGTCATTGATTCCTGCCCGGTCTCACCCCACCCCAGCGGGGCCTGGATCAGGTGGGTGGGTGGGGTGGGCCCGTGCCAGACGGGGCTGGTGAGGCCTTGCTCAAGGCCTCGGGATTACAGCCAGCTCACTGGGGACCGCCCCGTTCCGAGAGAGGCCCACCCTCCTGACTGCCCCGGAAGAGGGTCCCAGAGTGTGGTGTCACTTGTCATCCTCTGGAGCTCCTTGCCTGCCTTGCCGGGGGGGGGGGTCCTTAAAGCCACCTTGCCTGCTGGCTTGGGGCCCTGGCTTTCTTCTCTCCCTCCTTCCCTCCCTCTACCCCTCTTCCCCCACCTTCCCTTTCTGAAGGCCTACTGTGCACCAAGCCGTGTGCTGGGGACATTGAAGTCTGGGATTACGAGGAAAACCGTGCCGGGGTGAGGTGGGAGAGACACTGCAGGAGAAGATGGCCAGCTGAGCAAGCACAAGTAATAAGAAACAGAAATCGAGGCAGAGCTGGTGACAGAGACCCCAGAAGGTCACGGCTGGTTAAGACGAGGGCTGGAAGGAGGCTGGGGAAGCGAGTGTGCGGCTCAGCCAGCCTCTCGTGTCTGTGGCTGGGGGGTGGGCTCCCCAGAAGTGGGCAGCTGGTGCAGGGCAGGGCGTTCGGCTGGGCCTGGGACAGCTGGAGGCCAGGGCTGGGAGGGCTTCTGGGGCCGCGGCAGGCAGGCAGGCGAGGTGGGCTGCGTGTGTGTGTCTTGCTCTCTGGCTCTCTGACCTCCCCACCACTGCTGTAGGATGGGCCCGCTCTCCCGCTTCCCTCTGCTCACGCGTCAGCGGGCATGGTCCCTGTGGGGGCGCCCAGAGTGGGCGTCAGCCGCACAGTCTGCGTCACGCCGGGGCTCGGTGTCCACAGCTAAGACTCACCCAGTTTGCCGAGTTCCGTGGCGAGGCAGTCGGGCTGGGCTGGCTTGGCTCCCGAGTCCGCACCTGGTCCAGTCGGCTGTGGACGGGGCAGGGGGCACACACCCACTGCCCAGTCCGTGACAGAGGCGAGAGCAGCATCTCCCAACAGGAGTGCGGCCAGGGCAGGCAAACTTCCAGAAACTTCCAGATGGACAACGGGCAGGGGGGTGCCCATGCAGTGGGAGAGGAGGTGAGGAGGAGCGGGGAAGGCAGCGGAGGGGGCTCCGGCGCGCACCCAGCCTCCTTTCTCCGCCCCCCGCAGTCGTGCTGGTCCTGGTGTTCGGCGTCTGCTGGGCCCTGTTCCACATCGACCGCCTCATGTGGAGCTTCGTGTCCGAGTGGACCGATGGCCTGCACCTGGCCTTCAAGTACGTGCACGTCGTCTCCGGCGTCTTCTTCTACCTCGGCTCGGCCGCCAACCCCGTGCTCTACAGCCTCATGTCCACCCGCTTCCGGGACACCTTCTGGGAAGCCCTGTGCTTGCGGGCCTGGTGCCGGCGCCGCAGACTCCGCGGCAGCTCCCGCAGCCTCAGCGGGGTGAGCACGGCCAGCACCCTGTGACGTGGGCTTCCTGCGCAGCAGGCCCGGGCTCCTCTGGCGGAGAACTGTGGTCCCGGGGGGCAGCGAGGGACTGACCCCCTCCGTAGAGCAGCCTCAGAGCAGCTTCGCCTGGAGGAGCCGGGGAGGGGGCCGTGTGCCGCTTTAAGAGCCACGCCTGCCCTCCTCCGCAGGGATGTCTTCACGTCCGTCCCCCTGTTTGCCCCGCCCCCCCCTGCAGCCACCTCAGTGACTGCCGCCTCCCCCACGTACCAGAAGGTCTGGCCTGCAGACCCCCAGGTAAAGGTCTCCCCTGCAGGACCACCGCAGTACGTTCACTGGCACCGCAAGTCTTCATCCGGGACGTCCGCACTCCTGCCGCCGGTTTCTGAAACGTTTTCCCCTGCGGGCCCTGCCTCTCCTTTGCATTTGTCGTCCCTCTCTAGCCTCCGGCCTCCACCTGGGACCCTTCTCTTCCCTGACCCCTCCCCAGCCCCAAGTCAGTGTATTGTCCTCTGGGATCTCCACCTGGTGGCGCTGCTGGGTGGCAGGGCTGCCGGCGGTCTGGGGGACCCGGTCCCAGTCTCAACCCTGTCGCCACCTGGCTGCGTGGCATCAAGCAAATCAGTTCCCCTTTCCAGGCCTCGGTCCTTTATGCAAAAAATGGGAGGGTCCCCAACATTCTGAGCGCCACACTTTGATACTGTAGCTGTGTTTTCTGTGCGTGTGCCTAAGTCACTGCTGTAGCAAAGCCCACTGATACCCTCGGATTAGCAAGGCGGAAATCACTCTCTGCATCCTCACCCAGCGCCCACCCAGTCCAGTCCCTCCCGGACCTCCTTCCCGTGCTCCCTTCTGGGGACTGGCTGCACAGCAATGTGAATATACTCAAACAATATTAAACTACACGCTTAAATGGTTAAGATGGTAAATTTTGTTGTGTATATAACCACAGTTTTAAAAAGATTTTATTTATTTATTTATTCATAGAGAAGGAAAGGGAAGGGAAAAGAAAGGGAGAGAAACATCAATGTGTGGTTGCCCCTCACATGTCCCCATCTGGGGACCTGGTCCACAACCCAGGCATGTGCCCTGACTGGGAATCGAACTGGCAACCCTTTGGTTCACAGGCCCTCACTCGATCCACTGAGCTATACGAGCCAGGGCTATGACCACAATTTTTTACAAGAAAGGATTAAATCTAAAGGAAAAGAAATAAGAAACCACCCATAACTTCACTCTCCAGAGGTGACCACTGCATATGAGACAGGGTGGGGGGCTTCTCTGGAGAAAGAAGTGTGAGCTGAGGCTGTGCAGAGATGTGAGTGCTCAGTGTCACCTCTGAAATGACCTCCCAGGGAGCCTTGGGGTGGCGTGTGGGGCATGGCCAGACCCCACACTTCAGGCTGGAGCCTGCAATTCTTCCCAAAGGCCAACTGTGGGCTCCTGGGGGCCTCTTGCTTTCGTTTTTTTTTAATTAAAAAATATATATTTGTTGCCTTTAGAGAGAGAGGAAGGGGGGGGAGAGAGAGAGAAAGAAACAGCAATTCGTTGCCTTCCGCATGTGCCCTGACTGGGGATTGAACCTGCAACCCAGGTATGTGCCCTAATCGGGAATGGAACCCCCAACCTTCTGGTGCACAGGATGACACTCCAACCAACTGAGCCACACTGGGCAGGGCCTACAAGCCTCTTAAATGACAGAGATGACTCAAGCTCCCAAGGAACTTTGGTCAGCGTGTGAAGACCTACTGCGGGCAGCGAGGTGCTGGGTAGACTGGGGAGAGCGAGGGACGTGGGGTATCCGCAGGCGCATGTTCCTGGTGTAAACTCGGTGCGTTCCCTTCAGTGTCCCCGCAGCTTGTCAGCGGATGGGTCACACCCGTTACAGGTCACTGGTCACCCTGGAAAGTGGAAACAGCAGCTCTGGGCTCAGCCCCTGAGAAACGTGGATGGAGGTGGAAAGGACAGCCAGCCAGACCCTACTCTCTCTGGGAGGCACTGACTCTGGTAGCCTGCCCAGGGCGGGGGCAGCATTCCCGGGCCCCCAGGGCTGGCTCCTGTCACCCACACCCCTCCTCCTCCCATTGTCAGGACTTGGGGTCCTCTCTACTTCCTGTCTGCCCCACTCCTGCCATTAACCTGGGTGCCATCCAGGTCCACACGGATGGCCGACTGCTCTGGTATCACCTCCTGATCTTCCCTGCCGCTGTGAGGCCTCTCTGTCACCCTGTCTTCTCGGCCCCTCGGTCACATCCTCACTGCTGGGAACTGCAGGCGTGCTTTCCTTTCGGACAGGGTGGACTCTAGCCCAGAAGTGCCTCCTTCCTGCCCTGACTCTGTTGCCCCCTGACTGATGTATTCTTCAACCCCTTCCGGCCTTCCCGGTCCTCCGCTTTCTCCTAACCTATCCGCTTCCTCTGACCTTCACCTCCCTTCTGGTGGGTCCTTGGGCCCACGGTCAACACGCACAACCCTCTCTGCCAGTATGTCTGAGGGTCAGGGTGAACATACTAGAATCACCCTTTCCTTCTCAGAAAACAGGGTTATTTTCTTAGGACATTCAAAGCCCAAGATGGATCTTATGCGCAAACAAAGCTGCGTGTGCCCACCCCTCCTTCTGTTGAGTGTCTGCCCGGAAAACGTCACGTGCACAGCACTCCGCACCTGTGATTGCTTCGTCAGGTGGTGTTTGCAAATCGATCTGACGTCTGGGAGCTCATCTCCTTTTGCGCATTTCTCAGTCTCCCTTCCCCATTCTTGTCTTTAAAAAATATTTTATTCATTTACTTTTAGACAGAGGGGTAGGGAGGGAGAGGCAGGGAAACATCAATTAGTTGCCTCTCACATGCCCCTATTGGAGACCTGGCCCACAACCCAGGCATGTGCCCTGGCTGGGATTCGAACCTGCAACCCTTCAGTTCACAGGCCAGTGCTCAATCCACTGAGCCACACCAGCCAGGGCCCGTTCTTGCCTTCTAACAGATCCACCAAGTTTTCTTTGTTCCAAGTTTTCCTTGTAGAGAGGAGTTGTCTTTGTGGGGGATGGGGGCTCCCTAGGATTTGAACTCCCTTTCCATTAAGGGGAATCCCTCAGTGAGTGACACCACAGAAGCGGGAAGGGTTCCCAACATTCTCCACTGCTGACATCACTGTGTGGCCCATAGCTGGCACACAGCTAGAGGGATGACCCACATGGGACTCCTACCTAGAGCAAGTGACACTAAGACCCATGACAACAGGGGCAGATGTGTCCAGGGCAGCAACATCCTGTCCAGGCTACTTCTGGGGATCCCTTTCTGCCTATTTTCTTGATATTCTGGGCCTTTCAAAAAATTCCTTTTCTGCTTCAGTTGGCCAGCATCGTTTGCTGTTGTCTGAAACCAAGAACTTGAACAGATCCACCCATCCACTGGTTTGAGGGTTACACATTCTGTTTGCCCCGTTAGTGTTTATCTTTACCCATTTCTAAGATAAGCAGATGTTATCATTTATTTTTTTAAACCCCCAACGGCAGTCTATAATACTTAATCATTCTGTTTCTCTGTTTTTAAAACTCTCTTTTTTTTAGAGAGATGGGGTGAGGGAAGGAGAAAGGGAGAGAAACATCAATGTGCTAGAGGTACATTGACCATTCGCCTCTCACTGCCCCCAGCTGGGGACCTGTCTTGCAAACCAGGCATGTGCCTTGACTGGGAATTGAACCCATGAGCTGGCACTCAGTCCACTGAGCCACACCAGCCAGCGCAGTATCTTATGTTTTATAAAAGAATATGAAAATATGTAGGCAAACCATTCTTCCTAAACCTCCTTCCTCCCATTTGGGACTCTCTGAACCTAAGACTAGGGCAAAACTATCCTTCCCTTCCCCATCCCCCAAACACACATCCCAAATGGCACCTTTTCAAATCCCAGTGTGGGGACAATTCCTAGGCTTTTGATCCTACTAGTGGGCCTTCTGTGCTAATGGTCAGTAAACAAACACTGACCAAACGAGCAGTGAAATGATGATTTCACTCCAACTAGGAAATGGTATTAAATAATTGAGAATGCAAAGCAATGGCTCTGGAAGAGTTCCTTAACTTCTGTGAGCCTGTTTTCTTAAGTGTGAAATGAAACTACTAATAACATCTAAAACACAAGTTTACTTTGACACGTCCATGATAAAAGTATGACAAAGCTACCAGTATCATGCCTGGCATAAAACAGGTATTAATGTGTTTTAGCTATAACCGTTACTATCATTAACAGCTTTGATGACAACCCCAGACGCCGTTTGGGAGCGAGAGGCGGCGCCCAGAGCCACGTGGCCGTCCTGTAGGTCCCACCGCCCGGGGTTGTGGTCTCCGCTCCGCCTAGCGTTGCAATATCCGTTATCTTCTCGGGTGCAGAATCGCGCTAGTACCACCAACACACGCGCCACTGAGCGGGTGGCGGCGCACCGGGGTCAACGGATGTGCGCGCCTGGAACCGACCCTCGCGCAAGAGCCCACAGCGCACGGCTGTTTTTATGACGGCCATTTTACCGCCCCATCGGTAGGGAAGTGCCGCGCTGTGTGACCGCCCACCAGGGCCCCTAACTTGCCAGGGCCTGCGCCTCTTTCCCGGCTAACCTGGGGCCAACCCCGGCAACCCCGGCGGCCCCCGCGCGGGCCGGGAATGCCGGACCCCAACCGTGCCACCCGGGACTAAGTTTTCCGCCCAGCGACCAGGCACAGCACATGCGGCCCCGACCCGAGACCCCGCCCCCTTTCTGGGGTCGGCTCGGGATTGGCCCAGAGGTGACGCGGGCTCTGATTGGCCGAGGGAGTGACGAGGGTGATATCATTTCCCAACATTAGCTCTGCCCGGGTGTGGAGTACCGGGCGGCTGCAGGCGTGGCGATGCTCGTCGGTGGGGGCCTCGGGGCCGCTGCGAACTCCTCCCGGGCGTCCGACCGCGCCTGCTGTGGGCGGAGCCCTCCACCCGCGTAGCCTTAAAAGGAGAACTGGTCCCGGTCGGGCCTGCGGCTTCCCTCTGGAAGT